GCAGGTTGCTAGGAAGAAAAAATTACCAGATCAGGTCCTTAGGGCTGTTGTCTAAAACTGCGAGGGTCAGTCCTACGGGGGAGCCAGAGAGAATGAGACCCAGAGAAATTATCTAACCAATGTAGGCGGGTGGCAATGTCAGCTTTACTTGAGCCTAAATTAGGTGCAGGCATGAATCGTCTATAAGTGAAACTGATGTGCAATGCTGAGCCAAGGCCTGAGATTTAGGAATCTGCACTGGGATCAAGCAATTTTCTCACTTCCAACACAACCGCCCCCCCCTCCCCTTTCCAACTTCGTGTGGGGCTTTAGTGGCCGCCATTGAACCAGGAGTAGTGGATCCTCTCGAAGGACGGGAGGATCCTTGGGTCTCTTTGTTGCTGGTGGGCTCCAAAATTCGGCTCCGAATGGGGTCCCTGCTTCCTGCCTTCCTTGAGGACACCCCTTCCCTTGGAGCTGCCCTCCTAGCTCAGACCTGGAGGAAAAAGGAAGAGCGTGTCAGCGGCAGGAGTGGGGACCCAGGCGCACGCCCAGGGAAGGCCCGCAGGGATTCTGGCCGCAGCGGCGGTGCAGAGACGAGCTCCCTGAGCTGCCGAAGGGCGCCCAGGAGGGGCGCGGTGGCCCTGAATGGAACGCCGGCAAAGCACAGCTGGAAGGGGGGGCGGGGCGGGGGGGTGTCTTCGGATCCCTTCACCGTCGCTTCTCCTTCCCACCTTTTGCTGCCCTTCGGTCAGGTTTAAGCCAATGAAGAGTTTCCCAAAAAACGCTGCGGACCATCTGGCAGAGCGCGAACATTGACTTCGGCCAAACGGAGCTCCCTCCTGCCCGGAGAAGGCGTAAAAGCTCCGGGCTCGTGGAGGTGTGTTTTCCTTTGGTTGAAGGTCTTCACGGCTGGCGTTTATTTGCTCATAAAAGTCGGTCTGGGGCGAGGACCGAGCCCCACAAGGACAGAAGGATAGTTCTGCCAGACGATTATATTAATATTAAGCTCGGCCAGGCGATATTACTATGAGAAGGAGGAGGAAGAAGATGAGGAAGATGACTCCTGTGCCTGCTACTGCGCCATCAGCTTCCCAGCGTGTGCACACCCATGTGCGCACACGCCCACGCCTCCATCCTCGGGGTTGACCCACGAAGCAAATAACCGAATTAACGCCGGCTCAGCTGCCTGGAGGAAGGGGGTCCTGCACCTTTGCCGGGCCTTTTCTGAAGTGGTAAAACCTGCCCACTTCTCGACAGTTGCCCTGCCTGGGTGTGGGCCTAAGATTCGTGGGCTTTGATGGCTGTTTTATTTCAAACAGGTGAAATAAACCCGAAACGGGCGGCCTCCAGCTGGATGGAACTACAGCCCTCATCGCCCGCAGCCGACATGGCCACGATGGCTGGGAACGATGGGAGTTGCCGTCCAGCACTCATAGTTAGATGGGGAAAGCTAACCCATTCTAACTTTGCAGAACTCTGATGCAAGAGGGAGGCCACATTCTGGTGGAAACCGCCGCCGAGGGTGAGCTCGGACTGGTTGGCCGATTCCACTCAGGCATATGCGTGGGGCGCCTTTGTTCCCCATCTGCCTAAAAACCGTTGCAACGGCCTGTGTTTTTCTAGTATGTTTGGGGGTGGGGGTGAAACGCTTTGCTCCCTTTCCCATAGTTAAAAGGTCTTCGAAGTGGGGTTTCAGCGAAACGGGAAGGTTGCAGGGCGCTCCTCGGCGGCGAAGGAGGGAAGGCAAAGGGTCTGCAAACGCCAAGGCAGAGTAGAGTAGCCTAGGAGCTGCGGGCCATCCGAAGCAGATGTGCCAAGGAAGCCAGAGAGAGTCCCACGAAGGGCGAGGCGAGCGCCGAGAAAGAGGAAGGCAGCCCGTTCTGTTCCCGCGCCCGCCGAAGGCGCCAGGCTACAGCCCCGACGTTCCCGGGCAACGCTGCGAGCGGACCCGACGGAGAACTTTCCCGGCTGCCGACGGCTCGTGCCGCGTCGGGAGAGCGCTTGACCTCGGCTGCCTCGTCCCGGGAGCGCGCGCGACGAGCTGCTGGGTGGATGTGCCTGTGGGTGTCTGGGGGGCGGATGGGGGGGATTTCCTGGGTGGAGCTCCGGCCCCAGATCAAGGCCGGCGGAGGTTGCGGGCTCTCGCTCTCTCCGGTCTGGGTCTCTCTCGGCAGCCCTTGCGGCGCAGCCCTGGAGCCATTCGGCACCCACAGGAATGCTCTTCTCCCGGTTCTCCGCCCGCCCGCCCCCTGCGGCTGCCCCATCATCGCTTAGAAGGGGAGGAACTGCCTTTTAAGAATGGAGTTGAAAAGCGCAGTTGATTATATATATCTTTGTTAGAGAAGGAGCTTGGAGGAGTCATTCCTATTCCTGGTCTCCTGCCCCCCCCCCCCCCCCCCC